CCTCTGAAGAAGGAGGGGGACACATCGCGCTAACGCTTCATGGACGACACCACCTAACCGATTCCTCCCTGCTAGCTCATGCATAATCCTGTTACACGTTCAGAACTCACGGCAGAGCCCCCATCTGTCGGAACGCCTCGAACCCCGCCAGCGCTACGCTCACCGAAAGGTTGAGGCTCCGCACGTTCTCGCTCGTCGGGATCCGCAGCCGGCGGCCTTCGGCGCCTTCGAGCAGACTCGGCGGTAGGCCTGCCGATTCGCTGCCGAACACCAGTGCGTCGCCGCGTTCGAACTGCGCTTCGTAAAAGCCGCTGTCGCCGCGTTTGGTGAAGTACCAGAGCCGCTCGGAGGGAAGCTTGCGGGTGAGGTCGTCCCAGTCGTCAACGACTTCCCAATCGAGGCGCCGCCAGTAATCGAGCCCCGCACGGCGGAGTTGACGATCATCAATCTGAAACCCCAGCGGCCGCACGAGCCACAGCTTCGCGCCGAGCGCCACGCATGTGCGACCCACGCTCCCTGTGTTGTAGGGGATCTCGGGTTGGAAGAGGACGATGTGGAGAGGAGGCATGGCTGCGAATGACCAATGATCAATGAAGGAAGGGGCTGAGGGGCTAANNGGGCTGAGGGGACGCGCAAGCGTTCCCCCGTCCTTCCCTTAGCCCCACAATTCTTTAGCCCCTCAGCCCCTTCCTTCATTCAAAGAAAAATGGCGGGCCGTTTTCCGGCCCGCCATTTCGCCCGTCTGGTTTGGCGTGAGTCGGTATTACCGAACTCAGGCGACCATGTCCTTCAGCTTCTTCAGCGGACGGACCTTAACGACCGTGCGGGCCGGCTTGGCCTTGATGGTCGTGGGCTCGCCGGTGAACGGGTTGATGCCTTCACGCTCCTTGGTGGCCGGCTTGTGCTGCAGAGTGATCTTGGCAAGGCCGGGGAGGGAGAACATCTTCGGGGCGCCACGGCCGGTGAGGGCCTTCTGGATCTGAGCGTCGAGCGCGTCGAAAACCTCGCCGACTTGCTTCTTCGTCAGGCCTGTGGCCTCGGCGATGCCGGCGTAGATTTCGGTCTTGGTGGGCGCTTTGGGGGCGGCTTTCGCCATAAGGGGGTATCCTCCGGTCGTAACGATTAGCCCACTTGGCGAAAGCCTAGCGGGACACTGATGGGTGATAGCTAGGTCGGGCCTGCGGCTCGACCGGCGTGATTAAAACGATCCAACTCGTGCGTCTACAAGCCGGAAAAACGCGTTATCTCCGGGAAATACCGCTCGTTCGCGATGATCGCCCTTTGCCGACCCCACCTTGCGAAGGGCGCCCGCGGACAAAAGCGGCAGCCGTTTTCGGCAAAGCTTGCTATGCTGTAAGTGCTGAATGGAAAAGACCTTAAAGCGAGCTTGTATGGTCTCCAAGAAACGCTTCGCGTCGCGTTTTCCCTGCTCTGGAAGGGCTTTCTGCGCCGGCCTCGCGGCGTACGCGGTTTTTTCCGGGATTTTTGTCGCCGAAGGGGCGGAAACCCCTGCCGAGACCGATCCGGCGGCCTTCAGCCGCCTTTATTTCGGTCTCCAGCCCCCGGTCGATCGGGAGAAAGAGCGGCGTGTCGAACTGACCGAAGAGCTGCTCCAGAGCGGCCGTTTTGGCGAAGCGGCGCCGGTTGTGGCCGAGCAACTGGCGGACGAGACCGACCATCTCGGCAGCGACGGCGAGAGCCTCAAACGCCGGCTGCTCGGCGCCGTGATGCGGGCGGGGCCGAGCGACCTCGCGGTGCTGCGGTCGGTTCTCCAAGGGGAGTACCGCCGCGCGGCAGAGGGGGCGACTTCGACGCATGACTGGCGCCGGATTGTTGCAGGCTATCCGCCGGAGCTGTTCGGCGTCGCGTCGCTCGAAGCCCTCGCACGAGCCGAGACCGACGCGGGCTCATACGCCAGCGCGGCGGTGGCGTTGCGGCGGGCGGCGTTGCTCTCACGACTTGAAGGCGATCGAGAGAAAGCCCAGCAACTCGCTGCCGCGG